ACTGACCTCTTTTGATAAATTGCCTGCCTTTGAGCTGAAGCTGGAAGTTTGAGAGAGGGAGGAGGAGGGATTTTTGTTTCCCCCCTCCCCTAAAACGGTGGTTTAAGTGCTATTTTAAAACTTTTGAAACTTTCCAATTGAAGCCAAATTGAAGGAATTATCCTATTCCATTATAGAAGGAAAAGCAAGATATTTTTAATATTTTAATTGGGAAAAGCCACCTTAATTGCTTCTCTTGAGTACTTTAGTCTTGTGCATTTGCTTTTTGATTTTTTTTTCTCTTCTCTTCTCCCTATTCAGACAGTGGGGGAAAGAGACAGCGTCCCCTGGTGGTTACATTTTAACTTTTGTCTTTTTTTTGTAACTCTGTGTATTCAGCTGCAGAGTTTGGCTCAATGCCCAGACACTTGGCTGTGTGCCCAGACATTCTTATCTCTCTTAGAGGCTTCTAAGAGAGACCTTGGTTTTTTTTCTCTCTCTTTGTGTCTGGCTTTTTTTTTATTTGCTGCATAATTTCTATAATAAGAAAAATTACAAAAGAAGATTTGTAAGCCTGCAAGTCTGTAATTGGATTATAAATTGGACATTGTACTCTTTTATTTATTTTTACTTTTTTCTTTTTCTTTTTTTGAGTTGGCTTTGCTTCTTGGATATAAATATACCTTTACCCTTTTTTATTCTGCCTTATTGTATTTTATTTTTCCTCAATTTTTTAGAGATCTTGCCTTTTTTACATTTTTCCTTTGTTTTTTGACAACCTTTTGATTGGATATCTTTATTTGTATTATTATTTTTATTTTTATTTTTATTTATTTTTATTTTTTGTTGTTGTTCCTCTCTGTTTTTTAAATTACATTCGGCCTTGTCTCCTGATAATAGGAAGGCAATTGACCATTGGGCAATTGGATTACAATTGACCATTGGGCTTTTTTTATTGGATTACAAATAAATTGGCCAGTGGGCCTGTTATTGGATTATAAATAAATAAATACAACAATTAGAAGATGAGTGCCTCAAACTTGGTGAAAGGGTTCTTTGGGTTCTTTGGCTCCTGCCTCAACCTCGGTGAGTCCGGCCCCTCAAAAATCTATCACAACATTCTTACAGCAGGAGGCCCAACAAAAAGATACGCAAACTATACTCCAGGCAATTGCAGATTCTAAAATGGAAATGAAAAAAGATTTGGAGAAAAATTATGAAGATTTGAAAAATGATTTGCTCAAGATGGACCAAAGAATGGAAGCTTTTCAACAGGCGATGACAGATACCCAACAAAGAATGCAAAAAACAGAAGACAAATCAGTAGTGGTGGATCAAAAATTAGAGGCTTTGCAAGATGAAAATCAGAGACTGGCGCAAACCAATGCGGAACTGGAGGAAAATATGGCCGTTATGGAGATGGAAAGGGCATCATCTTCCTAACATTTCAAAATATGTCAGAAGAGAAGGATGAGAACTTATTAGAATTGATGAGTGGATTATTGGCGGATCTACTTGGAATGGAAATGGACCAAATGAAAAGAGAATTGGATCAGGTTTTTAGAGTCAATTCAAACTATGCAAGAAGAAATAGAGTGCCTAGGGAGGTCCACGTTAGATTCTTCAAAAGATGAGATGAGATCCTGATAGCAGTAAGGGATCAAACGCTGAAATATAAAGACAAAGAACTTGTAGTTCTTAAACAGATTCCTAGAAGAATAAGAGAAGCATGAAGAGAATATCAATTTCTAACAAGGAAATTGGTCAACAGAGGAGTGAATTTTAGATGGCTGATCCCAGAAGGGTTATTAATCTTTTGGGACTCGAAAAGATATAAATTGGATACTCCATGTCAAGCAGAGGAATTTTTCAACAACCATAGAGTCTTCCTGGAAAAAGGCGATGTGGAGCCTAAGAAATCAGACAGAATGACTGCTCCAGAAACATCAAAGCAAACGAAGGAGGAAGTACCTAAAAAGACCCAATCAGAGGAAGATGTTAGATCCAAAGATAAGAGACAGACAAGTTCTCCCAGAAGACTGAGGTCCCGATATAATTGAAATCATGGAGGAAATTGGAATACTTTCAATAAATATAAATGGTCTTAACTCCCCATCAAAAAGGAGTAAAACATTTCATAGGTTACAAAAGTTAAAAATGGACATAATTTGTCTCCAAGAGACACATATTAAGAGACAACACTCTAGAACTTTAGAACAACCAAAATTAGGTAAACTCTATTCTTCTTTAGCACTACAAAAGAAAAGAGGGATAGCTCTATACATAAAAGAAAAGATGAAACCAAAACAAATCTATGTCGATGAAGAGGGAAGAATATTAATGTGGAAATTACATGGAATCAAAAACAAATATTGATGGTTGCAATATATGCTCCCAATGAGAAACAAGATCATTTTTTTCCGCAATTATATGATAAACCTGTGGACTTAAATTATCATAACCTTTGTATACTTGGAGACTTTAATGCAATTGCTGATGCAGTACGAGACTACAAAAGTCATAAACAAGGGGGGAAAGGAACTAATATCTTACCTAAACCTTTTTTAAAAATGAAAGACGAATTTTGTCTACAGGACATATGGAGAGAGATGAATCCAGAAAAAGCACAATATACCTTTTACTCCAATAGACATAAATCATGGTCAAGAATTGATATAATATGGACTTCTTATGATCTGAAGACTATGATACAAAAAGTTGAAATAGAACCAAATATTTGGGCAGATCATAATTCAATTAAAATGACCTGGAAAGGAGCTAGGAAAAGATTAAGATGGTTCTTGAATAAATCGATATTGAAGGAAAAAGAATTCTTACAATTAGCAACAAAAGAAATGGACTTTTTCTTTAAAATTAATAAAAGAGCAGAACCTTCTATTCAAAATGTATGGGATATGGCAAAAGCATACTTTAGAGGTTTGGCTATCACTTATGCTGCCAAAAAGAACAAAGAAAAGAGACAAATACAGTGCAGATTGAAATAACAGCTTAGCATTCTGGAATCTGAGCTACAAATTGATCCACAAAAGAAAAATTTGAAGACACAAATGGAATTAATAAAACACAAATTAAACTTATTGGAGATGGATATAATGGCACAACAGATTAAACGAGCTAAACAGAACTTTTTTGAAAACGCTAATAAACCGGGAAGATGGCTTGCATATAGATTGAGAAAAGAAAGAGAAAAAAAATTAATAAGTAAACTACAGGATTCAAAGGGAGAGTTACATTGTCATAGTGATGTAATGAAAAAAATCACTAAGGCGTACTTTGAGTCACTTTATAAGGCGGAGGTGATTTCTAAAGAGGCAATTCAGGATTATTTAAAAGAAGCAAAGCTCCCAAAGTTTCCCGAGAACATGCGACAGAGATTAAATGAGAAGATATCAATGATGGAGATTACTGAGGCAATAAAAAGACAAAAGAAAGACAAAACACTGTGGCCTGATGGACTACCTGCAGAATTTTATGTAGCCCTACAAGATACTGTAACCCCAATTTTGAAAGACTTGTGTAATGAAATCTTTATACAGACAAAAATACCGAATTCATGGACTGAAGCTAATATCACTTTGATACCCAAAGAAGACACTGATCTTACACAAATTAAAAATTATAGACCAATATCATTATTAAATGTGGACTATAAAATTTTTGCTGCAATAATGGCAGAAAGAATGAAAAAGTTTCTAAATGAATTTATTCACTCAGATCAAAATGGCTTACTCCCAAAAAGACAGATAAAGAACAACTTAAGGATTATTTTAAATGCTTTGGAATATTATGAAAATCATCCAGAAATCAGATGGCATTTATATTTCTTGATGCACAAAAAGCTTTTGATAATTTAAATTGGCAATTTATGTTCCAACAGCTACAGGAAATGGATTTTGGTGAAAACTTTATTAAAGCAATTCAAGCAATTTATAAGAAACAAACAGCAAGAATACTTTTAAATGGAGATTATACAGATGGATTTGATATTAAAAAAGGCATGAGACAAGGATGTCCACTCTCTCCCTTGTTATTTATTCTTACATTGGAGGTATTGACTAGAAATATTAGACAAGATAGGGAAATTAAAGGTTTAGAGATTAAAGACCAAAAATATAAATTACAGGCTTTTGCGAATGATTTGGTTTTTATTTTAGAGGAGCCATTGGAAACAGCTCCTAAACTTTTACAGGAAATCGAGAAATTTGGAGAAGTGGCTGGACTGAAAATAAACAGGGAAAAGACTAAAGTTTTAACAAAAAATTTAACTGATAAACAGAAAACCCAACTTGCCAAAAAGACAAATCTTCAAATAGTTAAAAAAGTTAAATACCTAGGTATTTACCTAACAGCAAAATATGCAACACTAAAAGAGGACAACTATGAGAGATTAATAAAACAAATACAAGTAGATTTGGAAAAGTGGGAAAATATTGAACTATCACTGCTAGGAAGAATAGCGACTGTCAAGATGAATATTTTACCAAAGCTAATTTTTCTATTTCAAACAGTTCCTGTTAAATTGAGCAATAAATTTTTTGACAACCTAAATACAATAATATTAAGATTTATATGGCAAAGAAAGAAAGCAAGAATCAAATGTAAACTCTTACAAGATTCTAAAGACAGAGGGGGCTTTGGACTCCCGGACTGGAGACTTTATTATCAAGCAGCTATTTTGCTTTGGCTTAAAAAATGGATTACATTGAGAAATAAACAACTTCTTTACTTAGAGGGACATGACCTCCAACTAGGTTGGCACGCCTTCTTATGGTATAAGAAAAGTAAAGCACATAAATACTTCCAAAATCATGCCATAAGAAATGTATTGATTTTAGAATGGGAGAGAATCAAACACAAAATGTATAGGAAAATACCTGAGTGGCTTTCAACAATGGAAGCATTTGCTTATCCGAACTTGATTAACTATGACAAACTTGTTAGCTATAAAGATATCTTGGATAAAGATGGAAAACTTAAAGACAGGCAAGTTCTTCAACAACAAGGTATTGATTTAACATGGTGGTCTTATTTGCAAATCCAAACAAGATATGAAAAAGATATAAAATCAACAGGATTTTATAAAGAGCAGACTCCACTTGACAAAATACTTTTAAAAACAGATGAGAACTTGATTAAGAAACTTTATAAATGTTTGTTAAGCTGGAAGATGGAAGAAGAACAAGTAAAAGAAACAATGATAGTATGGGCAAAGAATTTTGGACATTCTATAGACTTAGAAGACTGGCAAAAACTTTGGGATAAAAATATTAAACTTACTAAAGCAGTAACATATAAAGAAAATTTATATAAGATGTTTTATAGATGGCATATGACACCAGTTCTATTAGCGAAAATGTTTAAAAATGTATCGAATACTTGCTGGAAATGTAATAAAAAACCAGGCACTTACTACCATGCCTGGTGGATATGCCCCAACGCAAATAAATATTGGCTTAAGATTCATAGATGGCTGGAAAAGATGACGAAAATACAGATAGAATTTAAACCAGAATTGTTTTTGCTAGGAATAGTAGGATCTAATTATGGTAAAGAGAATGACTATTTAATACTACATGTATTAACAGCTGCAAGAATAGTATTTGCCCAATTTTGGAAAAATGAAAATCTACCACCTGACCAGGCTATAATTTCAAAAATTTTGGACTGTGCAGAAATGGATAGATTAACTTTGGAGATGAAGGAGAAAGAAGATTCAATTTATTTCAAAACTTGGGAAAATTTTATCGATGGTTAGAAATTTGCTAGAATACGATAAGAACTTAAAAATGAATTGAATTTTAAAATTGAATAGAATAAATGATAGACTTTTAACTGTTATTTCTTAGATTAATAATAGTTTTATTATTAGTGATTTTAAATACTAATGGTGATGACTAGAATTAGTTGATATATTATTAATATGAATATTTATTAATATGAATTTTACTTATCTAATTTTAGTATATGATTATAGTTAACTTTATCTTTATAATTGTTTAGTATTATACAAATTATGTTTATTTAATATTTAGATCTGGACGGTAGCTTGTTTGTTAAAGCTTGGGATTATTATGGGGGGTTACCCCATTATTGTACCTACCCTTATCCTACCCCAAATTTCTATTCCCATTCCCCTCATACCTGTATTGACCCTATCTTTTCCTTACCTATATAAAACCTAATAAAATATTTATATAAAAAAAAGAAATGAGGGGATAGTTGGTATAGGGAACTACAGAGAACCTTGGAGAAGTTAGCAAAATGTTAATTAAGGCAGAGAAAGAAAGAAAACATTAGAAAGAAATTTGAAAGTGATCCTACCTTTTAAGGAGGACAGAAAAGAAAATGCTATCAGGTATTCCAGATTCTGTATCAATAGAATTCCAGTGATAATTCTGTTTCTTAAACTGGCCTGCCTCAAAGGGCTGATACATTACTTGAACATTAAATGTGGGGAAAATATCTTGGAATGTGAATATGACCTCATAATATGATGTGGCTACAAAGAAAAAGGTAAATACAATTGTATTGTAGGCCTGGAGAATGCAACAAGACTCTAAATACTTAGTTAAAAGGATGCCCCACCAAGAAATGCTCTCTCCTTTGTTCCAGAGTACAAGTTACATAATAGCTTATATTTAAATAATAGGAAGCCAGATTCCATTGTGCATTAGAAAAAACATTTATGTAGTAAAAAGTATTTGTCAATGGAACCAATTACCCAGAGAGATGGTAGGCTTCCTTTCACTGAATGTGTTAAAATAAAAACAACTAAAATAGCCATCTGTTGGAGACATTTTAATTTATATTCCTGGACTGAGTAGGACATGATCACCTAAATGTCCATGTTAAACTGTATGATTGTAATTCTAGTTAGTGATGGGCCAATTTACATTTTAATTTTGGCATGTCATCACATCAGAGAGATTTAGTCATGCCATATGTTATATTCTTAAAAAAGCCACTGTTTTTAGAAGATCTTTGCATATGCAGTATATATATATATATATCAATGAATTATCCACAAGTGAGCTTGATTAAAACTGTTTTACATCAGTCAAATGAATACAGCCTTACAAAAAATTGCTTTGAAAACCTGCAGATGGAGCCAAACCAATTCAGAAAAAAATGCGTAAACTTAATATAGCAATTCACATGTGTGGCTAGCATCAACAAGCAAACAAAACACTTTTTTGGATTTGCTACAACTACTTAAGCCCACAAATCCAAGAGAAGGAAATTTAAAATGAGGATGACCTTAATAATTGTATGTACTTTTGTTTAGTGATTTTTTTTAATGCTATCCAGAGTTATGTTATTTGAGTTGGGCTGAAATATAAATCTTTTGAATGGATGAATGGACGGACAGACAGACAGACAGACAGACATGTTTGTATGGATTACTAACAAATAGATATGAATCAGACATATAAAATGAGAAATGGAATGCTTATTATACAACTGAAATTTGTTTTTCTTTTAAAACAAGTAAAGGACTGCTTTTATTGTATATCATAACAATGTTAAAGGCAATAATTTAAAATCATAGAATAGTCTTGGCTTAATGTGAACAATAAATGCTTAGTCTAAAATAGTATTGATATCATTGGCTAAATCAGGGCTTTTCAACCTTTTCACCCATTGTACCACTTTTAGGATATGGCAATATCCGAGTATCACCAGTCGCCTAGCAAGGTGTCAAAAACTTGATGACCCCCCCCCAAGAAAGGAAAAAAGTCATAAAGTACAGGTAGTCCTTGACTTACAACAGTTTGCTTAGTGACTGTTCAAAGTTACAATGGCACTGAAAAAAGTGCCCCCCAAGCCACAGCCGAGCAAGACACCTGTCTGCCCACCCAGCGGCACTCTTCCTCCTGTCCGAGGTTTTCATTGTTGTGAGCATTTCTGTTGAGGATTGGCAGCGGGGGTGGGGTAGTGTGGTGTTTGGTTTTTATTCCCCCATCTGCTGGGTAGTTGCAGCAGGTTTTGGTCACTTCACATGACCCTGGGACACTGTGACCGTCATAAATATGAATCAGTTGCCAAACATCTGAATGTAAATCACAAGACCCTGGAGATGTTGCAACATTCCAGCTGATCGGTGCTTCTTCTGGGTGCAGCAGAAGCGCCAGGATCAGCGCCGAGCTCCAGCTGGAGCCTGGCACTGATCCTGGCGCTTCCACTGAGCCCTGACAACCCCAAAGAAGTGCCGATCAGCTGGAAAGTGGCACTGATCCTGGCGCTTCTGCTGAGCCCTGACAGCCCTGCAGCTCCAGCCATCTCTCGTTCAGGCTTGTGCGGTGCTGCCACCGGTTCAGCTCATTCCCGTCCCCGGCTACCACTTTTCTAGGATGGCCGCGTACCACCTGCCAGGTGCCAATGTACCACAGGTGATACCTATGCCACTGGTTGAAAATCCGTGGGCTAGATGATATTATCATCTGCAATTGGCTGCCCAACCAATCTATCGGAACCATGACATTCTTGGTATAATATAGTATACTGCTATATATGTGCGCAAGCACCATTCCGCAAAGAATTTAGGGGTTCTGTATTAAATTTGAAGTTGTTACTACTTAGTATTATCCTTTTTATTATTCATAATAGTCTCTTAAGCATAGTTAGCAGAATAATAGTTTCATTGTTGTTTCTACAATTGGCAGTATATAGCTAGACTTATCTGACTTAATTGCTAAGCATGTCAGGCTTGCGTAATATTAGAATGGAAAAGATCAATACATTCTGGAGACTGAGAAGTTAAAAATACCTTTGTGGAAAAAGATGATAGTAAAACACAAGGGTTTTTTTTAAATTTGGGAGCATCCTGAAGTACCTGCTTGAGTAATTTTTAAGGTAAGGGTATCAGTGGTGGATCAGTGATTGAGATGCTGGGCTTGTTGGCTGGAAAGCCGGCAGCCAAGTTCAAGACCCAAGTGCCATAGAACATGGTCAGCACATGTTATAAAGATGAAGAATAGAATAATTGAGTCAGGCCATATTAAATCATGTTGATTAAAACAATTAAATGATTAATATGTATAATGTATTGAGTACTTTACATAGAGATTGATCTGGAGGAACTGGTTTAGTCACTGCAATAGCTAAACTGATGGGACTTGACAGAATATAATTCTTTAAAAAGACCGTCAATGTAGATGTGTAAGAATCAGTAAAATATAATATTAGATACTACAGATATTCATTCCAACCAGCTGTTTAAATAAGCCAACAATCCATAAATACTGAAGCCTTTTCATTGCTATGATTTAATATTTAATATAGTATAAATCCAGTAGTTTTGTGTGTGGAAAGAAAATAGGCTTAAATGTGTTACCTCAAATATGAATTAATACAATATGTGGCATAAATTATCTGTATCCATGTCATGTAAAGACTCAGTCTGAGGGAAAAAATATGTCCTAGGACAGGGGTATCAAACTCGCTGCATCATGTGACATGTCACGATATATCACAACTTTTTTCCCCTTGCCGGAGCTGGGATGGATGCAGCTTCAATGTGTCTCATCCGGCCCGCGGACCAGCCATTTGACATCCCATCTTAGAATTTCAAAGAAGCAACATCCACACATAGTCATTGGTGCAGCTTCACTCTGGTACTTGATACTGTAATCTAGATATAATCCTTATATCTTTTGACATTCCCATTGTAAAATCTTATAAAGATCATAGAGTATGCAGAAATTTCATAGTTATTTAATACATCAGGGCTGTAGTACTTCCCTATATTAAGAT